TAGATAGATAGATAGATAGATAGATAGATAGATAGATAGATAGATAGCTCAACATAAAGATAGGCACAGGACTTCACCAAAGAGGACAAAAGATGACAAACAAAATGAAAAGATGCTCAACACCATTATCCATTTGAGAAGCAGATTGAATCCGTGGTGAGGTACCATTTCACGTATTAGAATGGCTAAGATGAAATGACACCAACTGACAGTGAACATATGGTACACGTTCTTTTGTGTTACTGGGAGGATGGAAAATGCTATGTTTTGGCAGTTTCCTATAAAACTGAATATAGCCATCACATACAATCAAGTAAAGAAATGAAAACCTGTTTCACATGAAACACACTGTATTGATGCCTGTATTAGCTTTGTACGCGGGTATCCCCAGGCTGTATTTGAAAGCAACCCAGATACATCTTAATAGATGAATGACTAAACTAACTAGGTATGTCCATAAAATGGAGTAGTGTTTTGCAGTAAAAAGGGATTGGGTCTTGTTATGCACAACTGCTCGGTGAGTGTTGAAAACATCATGTTGAGTGAAAGAATCCAGTCTTAAGCCATCTATTCTGTTGTTTGATACTCTTGTAAAGACAGCACATATATCTATCACGAGGAGAAAATAGATCAACAGCTGTGGTTAGAGATGGATTGGGGTGTGGCCATTTAAAAAAAAATCCCAGGGGACATCCTGATTCTGGCATATAAGCATGTACCTGCATGTGTTGGGATTTCACTTTTTTTTTTTTCTGGAGGTAAATTGTCAAATTTTCTATACAATAAGTTTAAGGTCAAAATTTTAAATTTCACCTTTATATCCCTCTTCCAAGCTTGGTAGTAGAGACAGAATCCAAGAACAAAATTCAAGCCAGAAAATAAGACAAGGCACCTGTCACAGGGAGATCTTTCCCTTTCCACCTGCCTTTCTCTGTCTTTGTCCACAAGATGTATTTCCTTGCAAGAAACAGATGTCCCACTTCCCCACTCGGGTCTAGCTCCACTTGACAGAGTCTAAAAATGAAAAGACTCATTGGTCATTCTGAATATATGTTTAATTTCTGATTGAGGAATCTTTTCCCGTACTGCATTTCATAGGCATCACCGAGAACCAGGGAGATTGGTTACGTGTCCATTGACCTTCCTTCCCCTCTCCCGCCCCTCCACCCCCCACCATGTGTGATACAGGAAAGGGTGACAACTAGGGGATGAGAGACACTGTTAAGGGTAGCATGGAATCCCTCCTTGACACTCATAATCAATACCATCTTCAGACCTATCCAGTTTCCCAAAGCCCCTCTTTGCCTTAGCAAAACAAACACGATGAGGCTCCTCTCTACGACCCTTTGCCTCTCCTGAGTCCCGATGTCCAAATCCAGCAAGTCAGCTAAACCATGCCTCTCCTATTCACTACTCAAAAGCTAATGTGTGGCCAGTGGAGGACAGGGATTGGGCATGACATGCTGTCTTCTTTGAACCTGTTGGCATCACAGACTTATTTCGGGAGGAAGAGTCGAGAAGGATGGCAGGAGGTTGTCTAGGACCTCAGGATCCAGCTAATGCTTGCATGTCAGATCACATGTTGGACCACCCTGTGTGACTGTCTCCAAACCAGGAACAGTGTATCTGTGGCTCTTAGCATCCTGGGAGCTGGGCCCTACCTGTGTATCTTAATGTCCCAGGAGTCACATCACCCCTCTTTCCAAAAGCTGCTTTACTTGCCACATACCAAAGGCAAACAGCTTTGCTCCAACCACATGATTTCCCTAGCATGTCAGTAAAGTTCCCAAATCTTCTGTTGCTCTTGCCCAGGTTTCTGTGTCTTAGAAAATATATTAGACAGAAATAACATGTCAACTTCTGTTGTGTTTAAATCCGTTTTCTGTCCTCTTGCCCCACAGTCGTCTGTTCTGATAGTTGTAAAATATACAGCATAAAGGAGTTTTTTCCCAAGATGAAGTTCATCATAAAAATGCCTAGAAACTAGAAATGCATTTTGTTCCCAAAGCATACTAATTTTTATTAGAATTTTCTGGTTACAGATACTTTTTGTAGGAAATAAAAATTCGAATAGCAAAACATTTTTAAGGAGAGAAAATAACCTATTATTTTTGCACTAAATTATTTTCTCTACATTTTTTTTGACTGTTCTTGCTACCTCTTCTAATCACAGACTGTGATCTAGGTAATCACTCTATGTTAATAATACCAAACTAGATTGCCATCTTAATAGCTACCTCGTATTCTGCAGCACGACAGAGTCACAGTTCACCATTTCCCCCAAGTGACTGACATTTAAATATCACCAACTGGACTTTCTACAAACAGTGTGAGCATCAAAGGGATAATTCTTTTAAAAGTAGTTGCACCCCAAGCCTTGGTAATAGGTGTGAATTTGTGTGCTCCTTAGGTGAGGCTCCTTTTATATTAATAATCTACTAATGAGGGCAATCAATTAGTGTTGGCACGAGCTCTAAAGAAATACATACCATAATACAGACCCAAGTCTTGCATTAATCAGAATTAGGCGGATCGTTAGAGAACTTGTCAAATGCCTCTTTTCACTGTCTCACTGTCCTGAGGCTTCAGTAAGAAAGGATGCAGGCAGAGAGGAAAACACCTCTCCCCTTTCCCTCAAAAGATGATCCTGGATGGAGGAGGATCTTTCTTTCTTTCTTTCTTTCTTTCTTTCTTTCTTTCTTTCTTTCTTGTTTCTGAATATTTTTCCTTCCATGAACATCACAGACAGCCACTCTCTTTGTTCTACTTTTTGAATCCTGACCTTAAAAACACCCATGCAAAGCATTTCAGGTTCCCTTTTCCTGCAACCTACCAGCTCCCCAATGGAAGCATTATCCTTAAGAGTTCCATCCTGAATTTTGCTATGGGATGACTATGACATTCTTTACCCAACAGCCACCATGTAAAATTTTCAGTCATCTTTATACCGATTGCTATGAGACTTGAGGTGTTGTTCTTAAAACAACACCCAAAAAGAGATGAATTGGTTGAGTCAGAGACTTCAGATTCAGTACACTTGTAAATGAACATTAAGAGTTAAAACAATTCTTCAGAGCTGGTGGATTGGGTTCATGTCCAATGGCTTCAGCATGAGACCCTGCTATTTTGATGGGAGTAAACCAAAAGGGATAGCTGCCCTGTGCTGAGCATAAGCATCAATATATTAGCTTATGATGATTAATACCATCTTATTGATTTCTATTTCTTACCAGGAAAACTTAGCGAGACTCCAGAGGGCCTTTGCGAGGAAGTGGGAATTCATCTTTATGCAAGCAGAAGCGCAAGTAAAGTAGGTGAACTAAGCAAAACTTCTGGGAGAGAAAGCTCTCTGGAGTCCGGAGATACTGTGAGGGTTTGGTGGCTAAGTGGGGTTTCATGCTGGGTTAATCTCTCCCATCCCCTTGGCGAGACTGAATAAATAGGAAGAGCATGATGAACAGGAAACCAGGATCTTGCTAGGACAACTTCATCAGACAAGGAAGATGCTCCCAATCAAAAAGCTAAAAGATGTACTTATTCTCCCAAGAGATTTCCATAAGACTTCTATGCTAGGAGACTGGAAAATGCCAGGCAGGGTTCCTTGGAGATCTTGGCTCCCTAAGTTAACATGTTGAAACTTGAGGAGGATGTCTTAATGGCTTTTCTCAACACTGTGACAGAATTAGCTTAAGGGATTCTGGGCACATGGCTGGGGTTGGTCTCCTTACATCATGGTGGAAAGGTATGGTAGAGTTCATGATGGTGGGAGTGTGTGCCAGCAGCTGCTTGCATCATGGAGTGTCAAAAAGCCAAGGGAGCTAGACCAGAATAGAGCCCGGGCTATATCTCCAAGGGTCTGCCCCCGCCCTAGTGACCTGTTCCCACTACCCAGGCCCTACCTCTTAATGACTTCACACTCTCCCCAAACAGTTCCAATAGTTGGGACCAGGTACTGGAACTCAGAAGCCTGTGGGGAAACTTTTATATTTAAACCAGAAGAATGGGTAGGTTAACTCTTGCCAGCTTCCACATAGGAGCGAAGCTTAAAACTAGTGGAAAAAGTAAGGCACAGATTGGCTTCTGGGTTCAGTTGCTGAAGCCATGTTGTGAGGCATATCTTAGGAGCTACATCCTTCCTGGGCAGATGTGGGTACCTACGTGAGCCCTCTGCCAGGGCAGAGTGACTCGCATAAGCTTACCTCAGAGAACAGATCCTGAGCTCAGGTTAACCTGGAAGAAGGAGTTTGTGCTTTCTCTCCGTCTCCCTTCCAATCTACCAATAGGTTAAACCATTCCTCTTCCTCAAAGGACACAAAAGAGAAGGAGGGAAAGGAAGTGGATGGGCCTTGTCTGTGTCTTCACTCATGGAAGCAGAATGGAGATGTCTCCTTCCATAAGGAAGCATGAGCCATGGAGAACGAATGTTCCCCCCAGCTCATAAACATGGTTGTCATCTAAGTCCATGGAATTCTGAGACGTGGAATTGCTGTGACCAGGGTTTCCCTTTTCCTCACAGTGACGATGTCTTTTTAGCCAGCAGTGCCAATGGGCAAAGGAAGACAGAGGAGGGATGGGAAGGAGGCTGAGCTGGGAGTCGCAGAGAGGTTTTCTCCGAGAGCTCCTTATAAGTGAAGAGGACCCACACAGCTTCGGAGAAGCACTTCCATGCTCTGTGGATGGCCCCACCCAACACCTAGGGTCAGGTTTGGGTGTTGTGTGAGTGAGGATAGATCGCCAATGGCCAACATGGAAAATGAAGTGACGTCATCTGCCCCAGCCATCTACAGTGGCTGTCAACCTCCCTCAGTTATCTCAACCTTTCCCCTACCCATGATGCCAACCACCTGCTGCCTCTTCCTCCCCAACCCGGTGTTCCAGGATGTCCCCAAGGAAGGCAGGTAGTAGGTTCTGAGTGTCTGTGTGAGACCATCTAAGAAGTAGAAGATGGGAGCGATAGGAGCCTCCAGTTTGGATGGAGTGAGGTAGTTCTGAGCCTGGGTGCTCACAGATCACTGAGAAGCAAAGAGAAGCCCAGATTAGCTCTCCCAGAAGCGAATGGCATCACATTATAAAGGAGAGGAAAACTGTCACTTCCTACATACGTGGATTTTCCCCATTAACTTTTCTGATTAACTCTGTGATTATATAATAATTGTGGGCCATTTAAGTACGCAGCAATTATCACAAAAATCACAGGGTGATTATGGGTTTATTTCAGTCCAGTAAACTAAAGGGCCCCCAGGAGAGCTGAGAACCACAAGTCACAGGGCAATTAATCCCAGTTGCTTTTTGCTTAGATGATGTGAAGTGATACATGCTTTGAGGGGAGAAAAGCCTCTTTTGTGGGCTCCTGATCAGAACATGTGGAACCTGGCTTTGCCATCCATAATTTCCCAACTGAGGCCAGGGACTTGGGGTCCTTGGGGCCTTGTGCCAAGCTAGGGGGCACTACTCTGCCTTTAGTAATCCAGATGGTTTATATGACTTTTAAAACACATATTTGGAGCATTTTACAGATGTCTTAACTGCTGTCTAAACTTTCATGTTGGAGATGGAGAATTGACAAAAAGGCAGATGTATCCCTTCTTATCCAGTCACACATGCAGAATTCTCTGTGGCGTAGGATTCAGAGAATTCAGTCCTTAGCAAACCCAGATCTTAATACTTTTCATGGGCAACTGTTTCTGCTCATTCTTCCTCTATGCTTCCATGTCCATTGCCCCCAAATGCTACTCTGTAATCCAGCCTCTAACACGCTCTTGCTGTGTATGGAGTGAGAGGCCATATAGGTTAATGGTCTTGGGGGCACCTTAGCTCCTGGGCTCAGGAGGGCTGAGGGGACAAAGAGGAAACAGTACAAATGCCTCTCAATTCCTCTCTTTACTCTTTCAGGATTGATCGGAAAAAGGATAAGACAGAAAGGAAAATTTTGGATAGTCAAGAACGGGCCTTTTGGGATGTCCACAGGCCAGTGGTGAGGACACCTGCTTGGTTCCCTGAATTGGATCCACCCACCCGATTCATTTCTTTTCTCCAAACAAATGATTGTCTTTAGTGAGCAAGGACTATACTTTAAGAGAATTGTACACACACACACACACACACACACACATACACACGTGAGAATATAGGACTGGAAATGGGGAAACAATGGGGATGCCAATATAGGAGCTAGGGTTTCCAACTCTTTTTCTCACAGTGATGCTGTCTGGTTAGCCAGCAGTGCCAATAGGCAAAAACTCCATTCTTCCAAATCAGTCATGTTCATTCCCACCATCATTAGGCTCCAAATCTTAAAAACATTTTTTTTTTTACATACTGTCAAGTCTTGTCATCTACACTAGTTATGTTCTAGAAAGTCTCTGCAAACTCTGAATTAGTGAATATTGAGGTATTCCTCCTGGGTGAGCTGGCTTCCTTCCTGACCAGGGTCGCATGTGGTTCAGGCCAGATCACAACTATTCTGATTTCTCCCATGGCATGTCAGAGCCCCCTTTCCCTAGAGCACTATACAACCCTTTGACACCCTGCCTGAAGATTACTGGAAACGGAAATGTCACCAAGATGAATGCAAAAATATAGAAAGCCTGGCACCAGATAATCCCCGAAAAGGCTGCTTTACAGCATGGACTAGAAAGACAGAGGCTCACCCTGTTCATCCGGGCATGATTATGTGGGGTGACTCAAAATTATCGTTCGTCTGCACGTGTCTGTAAATGGTCATTACGCTCTGAGAACATTGATTTGCACGTTACAAAGAAAATTTAGCAAGTAGATGAATCCACAAATCAGTACACAATGAAGCTTGACTGTGTCTCTGATTTCACATTATTAAAACAAATCTTGATTGCCCTCAGGAAATGGAATTGAAAATGAACAAACTATTTCAACCTTCCTAAAAAACTGATTAAAAGCAACAACACCACAAAAAAATCTTTCCTGTCCTGACATGGGAATTTTTTTTTTTCAGATGGTTAGAGATGTAACATAACAAAGGCTACGTACGTCCAAAGCCTCGTGGCCACTTGGAATATAGGTTTGATGCCGGGAATGCATACTAAAAAACCATAAGATTGTCCTCACTCTAAGGTCAGATTTTACATTTCCAATGAGAACTCCACACATGAACATGCGTTAAGGCAAGATGAAGAGATTATGCATTATCTGCAAAGGGAAGGATTAGGTCTGAAGGTATTACTTGGATTCGATTGGAAGCATAATTTTCACTTAGTAATTTATATAATTTTTTTTTTCTTCTCAGCCAGGCTGTGTGAACACAACGGAAATGGATATCAGAAAATGTCGACGTTTGAAGAATCCACAAAAGGTTAAAAAGGTTTGCTGGTTTAGTTGAATTACAATTTCCTGGTGGGGACGGCTCTCTGCTTCTGGTGCTGTTCACACACAGTGACTTTTCAGCTTGCAATTCTGCCACGTTCCATCTTTGGAAATGGTTTTATTCACAAATTTGAGAGTGGCTATTCGTTGAGTGGCTGGTGTGTTCTAGGCATTGTACAAATTGCTGGGGTTCAGTTGCAAGTCTTGGGGATCCCATAGTCTTGAAGAGAATGAAACCAGACCATAAGCAACAGGGCCATTGTGCTGTGTTGGAAGAACGGGAAGGTTCAGGAGCCCCTGGAGATGCAGCTAAGATAGAGTGGGATGCCCCAGGGGCTTTATGTAAGCTGGATCCTCTGAGATGAATAGTAAATAGCAGCTGGCCCCAGGGATGTTGCGGTGGAGGGAAGACACCACGGGAATAAAACACAGGCGAGCCTGCAGGCACAAAGAGCTTGGTACTCAGAAGCAAATGGGAGAGTTTAAATGGAGCTAAATTGTCAAACTCCACATCACCATCTTGCCATCCTTCGAATGACCCCCAGGATCCCTTGTATTTCACTACACTGAGCTGGGCAATGGCCACAGCATCCCCACAGCTACCATACTCAGACTGCCTCCATCGAAACAGTCTCCCTCTCCAAAGACCATGCTGCAGGGGAACGCGCCTGTGCTCGTTAACACTAATGTCAGGTTAGAAGTATATTCCCAAATGTCCCCAGTTCACATAATGACCAAGTATGAGTCCAGGGCGCTTCAGATCAGAAGTGTTTCAGTGTTTGGAATACTTTTATATACCTATCAAGCTACCTTGGGGGCTGGGACCCAAATCTGAGAACAAAATTTACTCGTTTCATCACCACCTTATAGCACATAGTCCAAAGATAATGTTTTTAATATTTTCGGTGGTCCTGTGCTTTGACCAGAACCTACCCCGTGAGATGAGGTGTAGAATTTTCCTTTTGTGTTAATTGGGATTTGGGAAGATTGTAGCTATTTAGACAAGAATGTGTGTGTGTGTGTGTGTGTGTGTGTGTGTGTGAGAGAGAGAGAGAGAGAGAGAGAGAGAGAGAGAGAGTGAGTGAGAGAGAGAAAGAGAGAGACAGAGAGAGAGACAGATAGACAGAGAGGGGGGATGGACAAACAGAAGGATGGACAGACAGTACACAGATAAAGACAAACAGTACTTCTTGGGTTTACTTACATAATTTACTCATTGGGTAATTAACAATACTATATTTAAAACCTAGTCTTAACTGTACTTACTTAGTCTTTAATGACCACTAATTCTAATACCCCACAGTTTTATGAAGCTCTTTGTATGTCATCTGAGCCTTTATCATTGTATGGATTGCAGCTATGCAATGCTTGTCCTTCGGGACTGTTTCTTTCCCTGTTCATAACACCACAAACAACTTGAATAGCAATCTCTGTAGGTGCAGACTTGAGTAGGAACTGAGGCCATAAAACTGCTGAATTTAAGGGGAACACTAGCCAGGAGGCCAGCCATTTCAACGTCATAGCACACAGACATGACATCTGCTGGCCAGCAGGAAACCCACAGGGAAATTTTGAATGTACCTTTCAGCTACTGTTCTTAAGTTCAGTGTTGACCCCAAATCACCTGGGGTATTTGTTTAAAGTACAGATTCCCAAACCCACTAATGAGAATCTTGATTCAGTCAGTCTGTGATAGGGCTCAGCAATGTACCTCTTTACCAAAGAACACCAATTGATTCTTCGAAGTTAGTTGGCCTCCAGATTATATTTAGAGAAACAGTGCTACACATGGAAACCACTTTAGCTCAAGAAAATGAAGGATTTCCTCACTGTTGTAACCCAAAGAGGATGTGTTCCCTCAAGAAGTCTACCATGGGAGAAATTCAAACAGAGCCCAGTCATTTGGCTGGATGCCACAGAGACAGCTGAAAGAATGAGATGAGGGCTTGGCTGCTGAGCCACATGAGGGTGTGTGATTCGTATTTTTGCTTCATCTTCTAGTCAGTGTATGGTGTGACTGAGGAGACCCAGTCACAGAGTCCAGTGCACATACCAAGCCAGCCAATCAGGAAAACTACAAAAGATGACATCCGAAAACAGGTGAGTGAATGAGCATGACACTCCCAGCGGGTTCTGTGGACAGCAGAATCAGCTGTTGGATGGCTTAACCCTGTGTGTGCCGTGTGTGACACTTAAGAAAAGCCTGAGAAATTCTCCAGCTACCTTCTCCAGCAGTGATTGAAAGGGGTGTGACTGAGCTAGCCCAGTGGTAAGCTGGCTTTTGAGGGCAAGGTTTCTCACTGCCTGCTGGGGAAGCTAGGGAAAGAGAAACAAATGTCCCATCCTGGAGAACACAACATTATAATGAACTCCCAGAATGCACCGGTTCAGGACCACTACCTCTATACTGTTAAGGGAAGGCATTAGAATAAAGAGAACCCTGAACCGTAGTCATCATAGCATCATTTAGCCGCATATTATTTTCTGTCTTGATGAGAAAGCCAGACCAACAGAGAATAGCTAACAACAACATCACTCCCTTCTGAAGCCTACTCTTCATTATGCCTTGCTGCCTTCTGACAGAGACTGGAACTTTAAATGACTTTCTTTGACAGGCTTATGGAGAGGCGGGAAGAAAGAAACAGAGAGATGCAAAATAGCTACTTGCTGATTCTAGTTTAAAAACAACCAAGTCACAGATGCAACATACACTGGAAACTAAACAGAGGAACCATTACTGGGGCTTTAGTCCAAAAAATTGTTCTTGAAGTATACATATTGTCTGTCAGATCTGTTGACAAGCTTTTTTAGACGACATGCTGTCCTTCGATTGAATAATTGGGGGGAGGTAAAAATTAAAGGATAGTTATGAACAGGTGAAAATGAGTTGTAAGGGAAGCTGTTTTAGAATCTTAAGTGTGGCAGGGATTTCCAAAGGGGCAAATTGTCTGTGGCTTCAGCTACGGGGTAAGTACTGCCCAAGGAGGCGTTTAGACTTTGGTGTGATTGCAGGATTTGGGTTCATGGGATAAAGGAGAATCAAGCTCTGTTTTGCCCTCAGTACCTGTGTTCTCTCTTTTCCCCCCAGATAACATTTTTGAATGCACAGATTGACAGACATTGTTTGAAAATGTCCAAAGTGGCTGAAAGGTACGCTTCCCCCAATATCATTACCATGTGCGTATTTTATAAAGGAGAAATACACGGTCCTAGCTAACAAGTATGTTCAGCTTCAAGAGTCAGGCTAGAGTTACTTCTTAAATCTGATGTGTAAAATCCCCAGTCCCTGTGTGAGCATGGCTAACAGGCCTCCCTTGAGCAAGACACTCTCTGTTCCTTAAGCTTCCGCCATCAGACCTTGTCAATCAGGAAAGAACGCCTGTTAAAAAAAAAAAAAAAATTCCACCATACACCTTTGCCTTCAGTCCCTTGAAGTGATTCAAATGGAATCACTCCCTTTCCGGCTATAAAATGCCCAAGTTCACTTTACAGGGGAAAGAGATTGCGGGTGCCCTCTGAGGTTGGCCACATAAGCGGGAGAGGTCTAGCTCCTTGAGGAGTGTTCCTCCCGGACATCTACCACTGAGCCTCGCTGAATCAACTGTAAGGAAAACACCCAGGCCCTGCCGCCTGGCTTCCCAGCAGCCCCTGTGCTATAGTCTGTACTGGTAGCTGACTCCACTCCAGTTACCTCGGGGGAGGCTCAGTTTTATCAACTGAATGGTCTGTTTTTCTGAATGCTTCAGTAAAGAGACCACCTGGGAATTCTGTATGCAATAAATCTAATCAGGCAGCCAGAACTTAATACTTACTCATCCATATGCTGCCATTAAAGCGGTGTTCAACTTCTGAAGGAATCCAGGGTGCAAGTCAGGCCTTAGTATTTACTGGGTATAGGGTAAACTGAATCCTTTTAAGTTTAGATCATGCAGGGTGCTGGCTGTGTAACCCCCTGGGGAGGCTTTCTCTGCTGGCCCCTTGGGGTAAGTCACATACCCTTTCTAAATAAATAATGACCAATAGGAACTTAGAAAACCCCAACCCCAAATCCAAAGCCTGAATTAAAGTGCTCTATTCAGGACACCAAGGACAACTGTGGGTTTGGGCTTATGGCATCTTCTATGTCTACCTGTATGTACATCTATGTATACTCCCTCTGGTCTATTTGTTGCTTTTCTGATATTAGGAACTGACCCTCATGAACCATGGGCAAATAATCTATTACTAACCTCTATTCCCAAGACCTCTGTTTACTTTCTGTTTTGATATGGGGGAGGGGGGTCTCATTCAGTTACCTGGGATATCTTTGAAATGCCTCTGTAGTCCAGGCAAGCCTTGAGCAAGTGGGGCTACCTTCAGGTCCAGTCATAAAGATTTAAATTTGTTTTTAGTATCAGTCTATGTGTATACAGGGAAATACAGCTGCCTACAAAAGCTACTGGGGAACATTGGGTCCCCTGGAGCTGGAATCACAGGTGGTTGTTAGCTGTCATTCTGGGTCAGACAATGGCTGGTTGCATTTCTAACATCCTATGCATGACAAGAATGTGATAACTACTGGACTCTATCCACTAGAGGCCAGTAGTGCCACCTCACAGTTGTGACAACCAGCAATGTCTCAGGCCATTGCCTGAGACAGCAACAAAGTCATTCCCATTGAGAATTCCAGCGTTCCTGTGTTCCCTAATGCAAATGCCTCTCATGGTGCCAATGGCTGAAGCTCCCATTACATGGCTAGCAATTACTCTGAAGTCCCAGGCGTAGCCAGCTCCAGGCTACATACAACTGCCCAGTGTCAAAATGCAGGACTTCTGGCCATCGAATCGGGCTCTGAAAGTCCCTTTTCCTTCTCACTGGAGTTACCTTTGTTCTACCCCCGCCCCCTTGGCCAAAGAGTAGCCAAGAGCAAAGCTGCTGAAGTAACCTCAACTTTCCTGTGCCATAGCTGGGAGGAATGACAAACCTCCTTTTCTTAGGCAAGGCATAGAAATAAATGGCTGGGCTGTCGTGATGCATTATCTACATACATGGTAACGTCTGGCTTGGGAGGGCTCATAGCGAAGAGTATACACAGAGCGTCTTTCACCAGGTTCACATGCTCAGGGTCAGTGTTCTGAGGCTGGAACAGAGGGCTAGGCAATGGAAATTCCCAAACTCCAGCCCTAGGGATGGATGGACTCAGTGGTCCCCAAGGTAGACTTAAGCAAGCTGTACTTTGAGCGTCAAGTGGACTGACTGAGCTGGTGTCTAGGGCTCTGGTGATACTACTGCAGCTCCACAGGCCTCAGAACTCACTTCAGAAGGGCTCTGGGTTTCATCTATTGTCTTATCTCTGGGGGATGCGGAGAGGCCTGAACTAGTCATCCTGAGATGACTGAGAGGTAGGTGATATGTCCCAGGAGGGACGGGAGCAAAGGAAGGGAAGCTGGCAGGTCCTTTTGTTTGTTTGTTTACTGACTGTCTGGGAGGTGCCCCAGCTGCTACAGCTAATTACACTTGAGAGGCGCCACTCACCCGAGGGGTTATCCCAACCACAATTCCCCAGCCAGGAACTTCCAGGAGTCCAGCCCCAGCAGAGGCTGAATTTTATTCCAGGCAGCAATAACTGACAACTCTTCAATGTGACATGAGAGTTTTCATTAGAGCCACAAGCAAACTCCCCAAGAGAGCAGAGGAGAGAGAGAGAGCAGCCGGGTGTCTGCCAGAGATAAAGCCGCCCAAGCCTAGCCTGTCAGCTGCTGTGCTCTGCCAGGAGGGGCTAGGGAGGTGGCACTGGCAGCTGGCCAGAGGTGAAAACTGAGCTCTCCCTGGGTGAGCCACAGCCCCCATTCCAGATCTGGTTTCCCTGGGCCTGCTCCAGGTGATAAGTGGTAATTGGAATTGTGTCCCACCCCTGAGAAAAAGTCCCTGCTGGGTTTTTGGTTTTTTGTTTGTTTGTTTGTTTTTCACCTAGTTGCCTAAGAACCCAAGAAATGAGAAGCTGTTACTGGTGATACCTGTAGCCCAGTTCTGAAAAAACAAGAATTGGGTGGGGTTAAAGCCTGCGGCCTACTGTAAAAGGGTACAGCTGTCAGATGGAGGGGGGAGGATTGCAGGCGGTGTCTGGAGCCTGCTAAGGAGATTTGGAAATGGATTGCCTCGGCCATTCGTGTGTTCTCAATGAAACAAGTGGCTTCCTCTCTGTGTGCATTCACTCACGTGAGTGCTGGAGGCCTGGCTCCAGTCCTTGGCACTCGGGTCCCTCCGAAGCAAGCAGGAAGGACTAGTAATTTTCCAGTGATTAACAGTACTGTTGACAGGACCAAAATTCAGGTATATGAGATGGGGTGAACTGGCTGTGTGGTGCTCCAAAGAGGAAGGAGGCTGGCCTTGAAGGTGACAGTTTCGTGCTAATACAGTTCTTCCCACCCTCTCTCGGTCCTTTCTCTGACTCTCGTTCAGACAGCCCTGCAGGCTGCCCAAGGCTAGCACGGAAACACGTAGCCCATACAGTCCCCCTTTCTATCTTGTATACACACTGGCCTCTGGCCGGGGACTGGCTCTTTAGATTTTCTCAGTTCATTTCGGTTTCAAATATTCTGTCCTTTGTCCCCAACAGTGTTCAAATGTCCCTGCCATGTCAGCATTGATGTGTTTCCTAGGCTGCTTTTTGCACTACCTAAATGTGTAACCCTGTTCTTGATTCAGAAATAATAATAATCCTCATATATACAAATTAACTTTTCAGATAAATACCACTCAACATTATACTTTTTATTATAATATTTTATTTTTATTAATGTTTATTTCCTTTGTATCCCACCTGTAGTTCCCTCCCTCTTCTCCACCCATGCCCCTCCCCCAATCCACTGATAGGGGAGGTCCTCCCCCCCTTCCATCTGATCCTAGTCTATCAGGTCTCATCAGGACTGACTGCATTGTCTTCCTCTGTGGCCTGGTAAGGCTGTACCCCCCTGAGAGGGAGGTGATCAAAGAGCAGGCCAATCAGTTTATGTCAGAGACAGCCCCTGTTCACATTACTAGAGAACCCACTTGGATACTGAGCTGCGGTTATACTTTTTATCTTAACTATTGTAAGTGAAAAATTTTCCTTAAAAGTGGCTCACAAACTCGCCTTCCTAAAGAAAGAACGCTGCCTCTCGGTCCACTTTTCTGGATAACTCGAGCCAGTGTTCTTATATTTTACTATTTCATTTTTCAAGGCAGGGTTTCTTTGTGGAGCCCCAGCTTCTCACTCTATAGATCAGGAACTCACTCTATAGACCAGGCTGGCCTCGAAGTCACAGAGATCCTCCTGCTTCTGCCTCCCGAGCGCTGGGATCAGAGGTGTGCAGCCCGGGTAATATCCTCTCCCTAAACATGCATCGTATCTTCCCATGCTATAAGACACAAAATATATTAGTCGGCTCTGGCCGACAAAGAACCTCCAAACACAGAGGCTTAAAACTCCAATAGCTTCGCTCTGCCCACAGCAGACATGCTGTCCCCAAGGGTTGACCATGTACCACCAAATGCTACATACGCTACATATTTCCCTTATACCCACATAGTTTGGAGACCAGTAATGGCTGGTAATAAAATAGGACAGTCGCAGCAATGTACAACAATGTACATGAATAATGTTCACATACGCGTGCAGAGGAAGTGCTTTACCTGTTCTCCCTGGTACGTCTGCATTACCCGAATCACCACTCAGAGCATCTGGAAGCGGTACTTGTTCCCAGAATTTCCCATTTAAGATTTCCAGACTGTGGCTTATCATGGGTAACTGAAGTTGCTGGAAGCAAAACTCCGTACAGGAGGGTATTACTCAATGGGCGTTCGCCCTTTCTCCTTGTCTGTTTGCGAGCTGGTTGCACAGCCTAGGCTGTGTGCCTGGTTGCAGCGGTGGACTGGGAGGAAGCTCTGCTGACCCTGGCTGTCTGTCTTGTGTATGTGGCTTCCATGTAGGATGGCCTCCGCAAGGACATCTTTTACTTTTACTTTTACTGTTTTTTACAGGAACTTTCATCCTCAAAGCGGGCCAGTTTGATATCACTTGCACCGAAACAAGAGTGCAAGAAAAAAGCAGAAGCATGCAAAAGCCAGATCACAAGCCCAGACTATAAATTTAAAAGACTAGAGTACTGCAGCCCATTTTTAAAACCAGC